GTGGGGGTTAAAGGGAAACCCTTTCTCAAAAAAAAAAAAAAAAAAAAAAGTTTTATGAGCCACAGGAACCTTCATAAGGAATATGTAGGGAAAATTATATTGTGCTTAGACTGGATGAAGAATGGACAAAAGGGTTCTAATTTAGTGGTAATAAACAAGGGGAAGGGACTGGGATATAGGTCAGTAGTGGAGTACATGGTATAGAAGGTCTTGGGTTAATCCCCAGTCCCCTGCCCTAAGATAAAGGGAGGGGACCAGTAAGGCCTTGTCAGATTTTGGCCTCTGGGTTCTACCAGGACCCCTACTCCCTTCACTTAGGTGAGGTGTTCTAGAATTCTTATGGCCAACTATCACTGAGAAAAAAAGAGGAAACTCAAGAGTGATTTCACTTTAGTAGTTCTCTCAATTGCTAAAGTCTCATATTTTGAACTGAGCACAACAGAGAGACGGCAGGGAGACTGTCAAGGGGACAGCTGAAGAGTTCGGGGTATAGTTCAGTGGCAGAGTGCTTTCCTAGCATATATGAGGTGAGACCCTGGATTCAATTCCCAGTACTGAGCAAAAAGGGGGAAAGGGGGAAGGCAGCTGAAGACAGGGGAGGAAGACTGGCAAGAAGGAACAGAAAAGGGACAGGGAAGTGAGCCGACCACAAGATGCAATCACTGGGGCAAGCTGGTGTTCTGAACTACACTGGACCCTGATGCGCTACAGTACCCATATTTGGCCTTACCCCACATCTCTAACGGTTCTGGGGCTCATTTTGTAGTAATAAGGGCCAGGGTAGCTGGAAGGATTAAAGGAAATAATGTATGTCTGTGTAGCCTGAAAGGAAGTATGGGTACCCTTGATACCAGGTAGGATACTGTATTTTAATGATTGTTTGTTTCAGAGAAAGTACAGCCTATACAGATGTTAATGCTTAATTAACAATTTCAATTTGTTTGAAAACTGGTTTATGCATACTTAAGATTCATTTATTTAATTGTTAGAGATTTTTACCTCAAAAAGAGAGGCCGGATAAAGTGGCGCACACCTTTAATCCCAACACTCAGGAAGTAAAGACAGGTGAATTTCTGTGAGCTTGAGGCCAACATGTTCTACATAACAATTAGACCAGGCCTGCCAGGGCTATATAGTGAGTCCCTGTCTCAAAACAACAACAAAAAAGAGCAATAAAATATTGAACTCAGTAATACACATGCTAAAAATGTTTGGGGATAAAACATAATACATAATGAGATCAGGCCAACCTGGTCAATTTCCAGGCCAGCTGGAGCTATAGGAAGACCCTGTCTCAAAAGAAAGTAGATTGATAATGGATAGAGAAATGATAAAGAGAAATGGCTGTACAATAAAGCAAATATAGTAAAATGCGATAGAACTAATACTATAAATATTACAGATTGTAGGTAATTTGCTTTATTATATAAATAGGTAAATATAAATTCTGTAAATCAAATACTATGGAATCTAGGAGATGTCTAGGTGATGTGCAGTGCATAGGGGTTGTTCACTGTGCAATTGTTCTTTTCCATATATCTATTTTCTTTTCTTTTTTTTTCTGGTCTTTTTGAGACAGGGTCTCCCTGTAGCTCCAGCTGGCCTGGAACTCACTATGTAGACCAGGCTGGCCTGGAACTCACAGAGATCCACCTGCCTCTGCCTCCCGAGTGCTGGGATTAAAGACATGCACCACCAGCCAGGCCATATGTCTATTTTCATCATTAAATGTTAGAAAATGAGCCGGGCATGGTGGTGCCTGCCTTTAATCCCAGCACTCAGGAGGCAGAGGCAGGCAGATCTCTGTGAGTTTCAGGCCAGCTGGGGCTACTGAGAGACCCTGTCTCAAAAAAGACCAAAAGAAATTAAAAATTAAAAAGAATTTAAAAGTTAGAAAATGAAAATAGTGCCTTCAAGCAAAATACAATAATAAAAGCCAGGCCTGGTGGAGACCTGTAATCCCAGGTTGAGGCAGGTTCAAGGTCATCCTGCTTAATTTAGCAAGACCCTGTCTAAAAAATTAAAGGATGGGGCTATAGCTCAGTGGTAAAGTACTTACTTAGCATGGTCAATCCCTAGTACACTTTATACTATATGTAAAATAGTGATCTCAAGAAAATATTAATAGCACATGTAGTAAAACAAACTGGCCAAAACCATGAAGATGACAGCAAATGATGTTTGGAAGACACAGACTTGGGCAGAAGTACTTCAGCCAGCATTAGAAAGTGCTATATAGGAAAGTGCTGGGTCAGTGTGAAAGGGCAGAGGCAAAGAAATTGAAAGATGGGCGCCTGCGACCTGGAGGCAGACCTGAGGAAAGGAAAAGCTCTCACCTTTGCGATCAAAGCAGCTCACCAAATCAAGAACCCACGGGTCTCTGTTGCTCCCACACACACTCTGGGCCTTTACCTGGAACCTGCAAGGGGAACAATCTAGTCTAGGCTGTGGTTCCTCCTTCCCTTTGCCTCCTTTCCTCATTCCAAAGGTATGAAGTCACCCCAAGAAAGAGTGCGTACCACTGGGACTGGAAATCCCCAGGTAAGTGAAACTGGAAAAGAGCTAGATTCCCGGAAGGAGCTTCAGGTTTGAGGATTGGGCAGCTTTGGCATCCCAGAGGAAGAGGAAGGGATTACCTGATGTAGCCCTGACAGCGATTGTATACTTTCAGGTGTTTTCGGAGATAAGCCATTTTATTCGGTGAGAGGGTGCCATGAAATCTGCTAAGACACACACAACTTCCCGTGGTACTGCCCTCGTTGCCATCACCTGAACCGGAGAGAGGGGTCCACACACGTTCTCAGACTCAGAATCTGCCCGCACTGTTTCTCCAGCTCCTTAGCCTCCCACTCAGCTGTCTCACCGCAGCCTTAACCCCTACACAGACGTTTACTGCCACCTGGGTCCAGGTGCTCCCCCGACCCCAGTCCTTGTCCGACCCCAGACAGTCTTCCCCACGTCCAAGCTGCATTCCTTGGCAGCGCTGGGCTCGGCTCGGGATTCCACCGTCCTACTCCCCACCATCCCCCCCTCCCCACCATCCCAGTTTCCTTCCGGGAACTCGGATCTGCGCCCCCCAGCCCCGCCCCTTCTCTGACCTGACTGGGTCAGCAGCGCCAGCACGAAGAGCACGGGGAGCGCGAGTCCCCAGCCCGGCCCCATCGCCGGGCTCTGCAGAGTTTGCAGGGCACAAGGCCACCCAGCGACGTCGATTGCTTTCGCTTCCTCACCCGCCAGCCGGAGGTTCTGCAGGTGGCGGTGGCCGCGATGCCCAGCTCCGCCGGGGAGTGGGCGCGAGGTGGCAGTGCCTCGTTCACCGGGCTCGCGCCTCCCGAACCGACCGTCCGTGGCGGGGAGCCCGCGCCGCGCCCGCCTCCCACGGCGAGGAACCCCCCGAGGGCGGAGCTCCTTCACCCCACGCCAGTCCGTCGGTCGAGGGGCAGCCCAGACTATCGGACAAAACCGAAAGAAACTCGGGCCACTCTAGTAGGCGGGCAGGCAGTGGCCCCGGAAGGATGACCCGGCCGGGTTCAGGGATATCAGCCCTCTGTGCGGGTCGCCAGTCTGTCTGCGGACTTAGGAAATCGAGTCCGGGATGCTTTCACTTCCCTGGCCGCGGGATCAAGTCACATGGCCGAGGTGAAGCAGTCAACCATTCACCAGGTCTATGCCCGGGTGCGCACGCACTGGCCGGGTGCAGCCAAGTGCCCTAAGCGTGGCCACACAAGAAGCGGGCTGTGGGCTCGGGCAGCCCTGACGTCACGACGATCCTCCAGCACGAGGTATTTACCTTCAAAAAGTGGTGGCGGCTGCAGATACCGGCAGAGTGGAGCGCCCGGAAAGGGGGGTGGGTCTACTGGGGCTCACGCCCAAGAGATGCCTCAGTTCTCACTCCCATGTCCTACATCCCACAGACCAACCGACTCACAATTCTTTCCTCCTTCCCCGTAGGATTAGCCCTAGTTTAGGTATACCCTTAATTCAAACCTCACTTCAGGAACCTCAAGTTTTGAGCGCCAACTATGTTATCCCTGAGTACTCAGCTTTAACCCTGTGTTCACTTTCCAGTCTTCGTCCCTGAAAACCCTATTCTCAGCTCCTAATATCCCTCTGTAGATCCCACTTTAAGTGATCCTCAAACCCTTTTGTGACCCATCCAGACTCTCACCCTGGCCCTCACTGTATTTCCCTTTCTCTACTCAGTCTGGGCCTAGACCCTGTGCATCTGGAGACATGGAGTTTGTGTCTGGATACCGGGATGAGTTCCTTGATTTTGCTGCTCTTCTCCTTGGCTGGTTCCACAAGTTCATGGCAGAGAGGGGGACCATGGGGACTAGCCTTGAAGGCCGATTGCATCAGCTGGAGTCGCAGATAAGGAGGCTGCCCCAGGACCCTGCCCTTTGGGTGCTCCATGTCTTGCCAAACAGTAGTGTGGGCATCAGCCTGGGGCAAGGTGCAGAGCCAGGCCCTGGAGCAGGCCTAGGGGCTTCCAGACTTCTGGGAGAGGAACCTCTGCTCCACCTGCGAGACCTAAGTCCTTATGTTAGCTTTGTCAGCCTAGAGGATGGGGAGGAAGGGGAGGAGGAAGAAGATGAAGAAGAGAATGGAGGGGAGAATTCCAGCACAGAGAAGGTGGAAGCACAGGAGGGTGGGGAGCCAGTCCCTCCCAGCAGGGAGTCGCCCCAGGAAGCAAAGCCTCCAGCCCAGCCAGAGGTGATCCAGCAGGACAAAGATGGTGATGATGGCTGCCGAGAGGACAGAGGGGAGGATGAGAGGGGACCTGAGAAGAGGAAAGGACGAAGGAGTGGTAAGAGTGGCTCTGCTCTGTCCCTGGTCCAGCTAGCTGCCCTATCTGAACTCCTCCCCTGTCAGTCAGAACCCAACTAGGAGTCACAAACTAGTAGCTTTCATGTAAATCTGACCCCAAAAGTTGTTTTCATCTCCCACAGTGGTTTTTAGTGTTATTTTTAAATTTGAACCAATATTTAAGCATTATAAGGAATAAAAGGATTTGCATCTTAAGAAAAACCTAAGCTTTGATAAATTGCCTACATTTCTGCATGCCGCTAATTCTGGTCCTTTGTGGCAGCTGTCCCCTTTAGATGGAGCATGCCCCTTTTATCTAGTCCTTTTAAGCACTGAGGTTACTTGCTTGTGCCCTTTAGGGTTTGGTATATCTAACCATGACCATCTCTAGCCTCTGCTGACTCCCCCAATTTTCCCCCTCTCCCCAGAGGCTGTCCCCCTGCATCTTTCCTGCCTCTTACTGGTGACAGATGAGCATGGCACCATTTTGGGCATTGATCTGCTAATGGATGGAGCCCAGGGAAGTGTGGGCCAGAGCTCAGCCAACGAGAATCTGGCTCCTCGGGCCTATGCTCTCCTCTGTCACAGCATGGCCTGCCCCATGGGCTCTGGGGACCCCCGAAAGCCCCGACAGCTTACTGTGGGAGATGCCCACCTGCACCGGTACAGACATGTGGTATCCAAGGATGGGGAAGTATGGGGTCTGGACTCCTGAGCCCCTTTAGCCTGATGCTATCTTCTTCCCCATTCAGAGAGCTTGAGAGCCTGGTCCCAAGGCTGGGTGTAAAGTTAGCAAAGATCCCAATGCGGACATGGGGCCCTCGACCAGGCTTCACCTTTGCCTCCCTTCGAGCTCGAACTTGCCATGTTTGCCACAAGCACAGCTTTGAGGTGAAGTTGACACCCTGGTGAGCACCCACAAGGCCAGAGTCAAAGAAGACCCTAAAGGCAGGCAAACCAAGAAAAAAAGCCAAGTCGATGGGGGTCCCAGCAGACAGACAGAAGGAGAATCAGGAAGGGAAGAAGAGTTAGAAAAACCAAGCTATTGTGAGCATTTAGTTAAAGGGGGTAAGCCAAGCAGATTGAGTGCCACGTGGGCAGATGTAGAGCTGACAAGACCTATAAAGAGCCATACTAGGTGCCCATTACCCCTGTGTCTCCCAGTCCCCAGTGCAGTGCTGTCTTGTACTGTGGAGAAGCTTGTCTCCAGGCTGATTGGCGGCGATGCCCAGATGATGTGAGCCACCGATTTTGGTGCCCGAGGCTTGCAACTTTCATGGAGCGGACAGGGGAACTGGCAACTCTACCTTTCACCTATACAGCAGGTACCATAAGGAGGTCAAAGTGACTGGGAAGGACCCTGGGTCCAGGTCTTTGAGTCGGGTCTGGATGCCCAGGAACAAGATCCTGGGATTGGTTGTGTTTGATCAAAGTCTATCTCCCTGGAATAAGAATCGGGTGCTCTGTATTTGGGGCTAAAGATAGGGTAACTGATGGGGCTGGAGAGACGGCTCAGTGGCTAAGAACACTGGCTGTTCTTACAGAAGACTCGGGTTCAAATCCTAGCACCCACATGGCAGCTAACAACTCTCCGTAACTCCAGTTCCAGGGGATTGATAGCCTCTTCTGTCCTCTGCGGGCATTGCACGACATGGGTGCACTTACTTACATGCAGGCAATACACACATACACATAAAATAATAAATAAAATATTTTTAAAAAAAGATAGGGTAACTGAAACAGAAGACTGAATGCCTGGGTCCCTGGGAGAGATGAGGGGATTTGAGAGCAGGGATTCAAATGCTTGCTTCCCACCTCCATCACTGTCTAGTAGCATGACCTCAAATATATCACTTTAAGTCAAGCATGGTAGCACATTCCCAGCATGTGGGAGACTGAGGCAGGAGGATCATGAGTTCCAGGCCAGCCTAAGCTACATGAGACCCAATCTAAAACAAACAAGCAAAATCAAAAAAGCAAAGAACTGGACCTGATGGTACATACCTGTAACCCCAGCACTTGTTGAGACAGGATTAAGAGTTCAAAGTTATCCTCAGCTATATAGCAACTTTAAAGCCAGCCTGTGCTACACGAGCCCATCTCAAAACATTTACTTCTTCAAGCTTTGGTTTCCTCATCTTTAAAAGAATACTAGCACATATAAAATTGTATAGAATTATTACAAGGGTGATGTGAGTTCAGTGCCTATAACACTGTAGACACTGGAAATGAGAAATCCCTCTCAGCCTTAGAACCAGGCTCAGAATCAAGGTCCCTGGGGAAAGCAGAGGACTGCTGAAGTCTTGGGGCCTAGCCACCAGTCCCTCAACCCCTCCCCTTTTCCTGCAGAAGTGACCAGTGAAACCTTTAACAAGGAAGCTTTCTTGGCCTCTCGGGGCCTTACTCATGGTTATTGGACCCAGCTCAGCATGTTGATTCCAGGGCCCGGCACCCCTAAGCACCCTTGGGGCAACACATCATCCCTCAGCTGCTTTCTCAGTGGTATGTGGGACCTCTTGCTAACAATGGACTCCTAAACCTGGAGGGAAATGGGACGGGGGCAGACCAGGTCCCGCATTAACCCCTCCAAGATATACCAACCCCCTACTAACACTGTCAGGACCATTTCAAGCCTTTCCTCAGCCCTCAAAGGAGTCATCCTTGCCTCGTCCATCCAGTAGCCCTGTCCCATAGGCTAACCCCGCTCCTGCTGCTGCTCCAGGCCTTCTCCCAGGGAACATAGCTCTTCTGGAGATGAGGCAAGCAGGGTTTCCTGACCCCAGGCATCGCTTCTCCTTCATCTTCTCAGGAGATCCCTACCAGCTTCTGCAGGAGAATGGGCCTGCCCTGATGCCTCCACTGCCCCTAGATCCACCCAAGGGCCTCTTTGGTAAGCTGGAGGGATCCTGAAGGAACTAGGGGTTGGGACAGAAATCTGGGGGTGGGGGTGGAGGACAGAAGTGTGAATGACTGAGTGAAAAGGGGAGCTATTAGAGGTTAGGGCCCAGACCTGGACCAGAGCGTCCAGTAATGCACTCTCCCCAGGCTCATGGCAGGATTACTACACATGGCGAGGCCTCGGTCTTGACTCCCCCATGGCTGTGCTTCTCACCTACCCACTGACTATGTACTACATCATCACTCACCTAGTGCCCCAGTCCTGTAAGGAGCATTGGCAGGTTGGGAGGGTGGGAGGTATAGGTGTGGGAGTGAGGGAGGCTATGTTCTTAATGACCTGACTTTTCTTTAGTCCCTGAGCTCAATATCCAGAACAAGCAGTCACTGAAGATCCACGTGGTAGAAGCTGGGAAGGAGTTTGATCTTGTTATGGTATTTTGGGTAAGTCTTTCCCACCTGGAGAGAGGATGGGTGTGGATACAGGGTAGAACCCAGCCCTGACCTCCTCTGTCTTTCAGGAGCTCTTGGTCCTGCTCCCCCATGTGGCCCTGGAGCTGCACTTTGTAGGTGACAGCCTACCACCTGAGAGTGACCAGCGGCATTTTACTATGCAGAGGGTAAGAACTGGAGGGGGTGCTACTTTTCAGCCCTGCCTCTGATGGCCTCCTGATGGGACCCCTGCCCTTCCCCTCCACCTTCCTCAGTTTTGCGGTATTTTGTCCAATACCCTGACTTCCAGCAGCTTCCCCACCCCACTCCTGGCCCCACAGGATGGCCCTGAGGCATCTGTGCGTCCTGGTTCTGGGGTATCCACCCGGCTCAGCTCTGGAACTAAGGAGAAGGGAGGATGCAGGGACCTGCAAATCAGGGTGTCCACCAGGCCCTACCACCTGCTTCAGGGACCCAAGCCTGACCTGGTTATTGGTAAAAGCCTGGGGCTCAAGGATGGGGATTTGGGGAATGTGAAAGAAGTAGACCAAGGCACCAGCATCACCCTCTTCTCCCTTGGCAGGTTTTAACTCCGGCTTTGGTCTCAAAGACACTTGGCTGAGCTCTCTGCCCAGATTACAGGTGAGTAATCTCACTTGCCCAGCCCCTCTCCTCCAAAAGACTGAACCCTACTTTTCCCTGTCAAACTGTTCCACAGATGTGGGGAGCACCCACAAGTCCTCTTGCCCCTGTGTCTCTGCCTTTTACCTCTCTCCAGCATCTGGGTCTGGGGTGGGCCTTCACCTTTCAATCCTGTTTGGGAGGTGGGGGATCCAGGTTTATCTGGAGGAAGGAACCACCCAGCGAGTATCTAAGCCCCGCCCCCCCAACCCCAGTCTCTCCGAGTGCCAGCTTTCTTCACTGAGAGCAGCGAGTATGGCTGTGTGATGGATGATCAGACCATGGCGGTGGCCACGGGAGGGGGCACCAGTTCGCCACAGCCCAACCCGTTCCGCTCCCCGTTTCGTCTCAGAGCTGCTGACAATTGCATGCCCTGGTAAGGGGCCACGATCCTTAATTCTCTCCCGACCCACGACTTCTTACACACTCTACATCCTAAAACATCTCTGCACTCCTGAGACCCTCCTTCCTCCCGTCTTATAACCCACCTTCTCTGTCCTCACTACTCACACACCCCCCCGCTCTTGTTTGTTTGTTTATTGGGTGTGAGGACGCATGCTGTGTGGAGATTGGAAGACAACTTTCGGGAGTCGGTTCTCTGTCTCCCCAGGGATTGAACTCAGGGCTTCGAGCTTAGTGGCAAACCCCATTACCTGCTGAGCCATACCAAGCCCAAAGTCTAGACCTGGGACCTTCGGCTACAAGCCCCGCCCACAAGGGGGTCCTGGCTGGGCCCCTGACCCTGCCCTCGCGCCTTCCGCAGGTACTGCAACGCCTTCATCTTCCACTTGGTCTACAAACCTCTCCAAGGCGGCGGAGTCCGCCCAGCGCCCGGCCCGGCACCCCCACCCCCAACTCCTGCCGCTCCTCCTGTCCCAGCCCGAAGGCGGCGAGGAGAAAAGAAAGCTGCACGCGGGCCCCGTCGGCGGAGATGAGTGCTGAGATGGTAATAGTCCACTCCCTCCCGAAACTTGCTTCCCAAAGGAAAACACTTCAAGACCCCGGGGGCGGAATGGTTGTCAGGACACCAAAAGTTAAATAAAATTACTTGTTTGAAACCTCTGAGTTACTGACCCTTTGACTCCACTGGGAAAGGAAATAAAGGTTTAGGGATGATTTTCTTCTGGTTCCTATCACCACCATCTCTAATTCAAGGTGTGTGTGTGAGGGGGGGTATGACCGTCCTTGGTACTTCCAAATTCCTCTCCTAATTCATAAGTCGGTAAATCACTTTCTAGCCCAGTTACATCAGGGACTCCCCTAGGGTAAGGAAAGACCACGCATCAGAAAATGACTTCTCACTTGGGAGGGAAGCCTCCAGGGGACAGGATCCATATTTGCATTAGATTCTGTGAAAAACTATGGGGATCCAACTCCACCATCTCTCATCCCTCCATGTCAAATAAGCAATCAGCTACTGCCAAAAATCAACAAACTCCATCAGTTTATGTCCAATCCCACTACAAACTCACCTTCACAATGCCACCAGAGGCCAAAGTATTCCTTATAAAACAGGCGGGTGTGGGAGGCCAGTGGTGGTACATTTGCCTAGCAAATTCAAGGCTCTTGATTGATTCCATAGATTCCTAACACAAGAAAGTGCATAGTAACCTCTCCTGCTAAATCGGTTGGGTGACCTCCTTAAACTATCCTGATGTGGCTTGGAGATAAGACTTGCTAGACAGAGATTGGAAAAGGTAACTGCATTGCAGCCAGAGGCTGATGTGGTGGAGCTGTATTACAACAGGACCATCAAACCTGCCTGGTTTGACATTACAACAAGGCCAACCAAGAGCCTTCTATTGTTCTAATGACATCTCCATATCATTAGCCTTGCAGACCTGTCTGCCACTGAGCCAGGCATGGTGGCTCATGCCTCCAGTCCCAGTACTCAACGGGCTGAAGCAAGAAGATTGCCTTTGGCTTGAGAATAGCCTGTGCTACAGAGTGAGACCCTGTCTAAAAGGAAACAAAACAAACAACCAAAAAACACTGCCTCCCCTCAGTCATTCATCTGATGATAGGCCACAGCCAAAAACCATACTTAAGAGCACAAAAGGGTAGTAAGCCTCATTCTGAGGAAATTCCTACTATTCCTGCAACCCTCCCCTGCACTTCTTCGACCCCTTCCTTAACTCATGAATAATCCTTCTCTCTATAAAAGTTTGCCCATAATGCAAATTATGCAAAATCTGCTAAATATGTGTTCTCACCCTGTAATGAGCTCACTCCCTTACTTCATTCACCTCCAAATTCCTTCCTGTATGGTGGCAAAAACTTGAAAATACTGGGTAGATCTTAATAGCTCTCTCTGTCTCTCTGTCTCTCTCTGTGTGTGTATGTCTCTCTCTCTCTCTCTCTGTCTCTCTCTCTCTTTCTCTCTCTCTCTGTGTTCCCCACACCCCCGTGTTTTGGGGCCTCAAACTCACAATTCTCCTGTGTCCACCTCCCTAAGTACTGGAATTACAAGTATAAGCCACCAAACCCAGCTTTATCTCTCTGTCTCTGAAACCTCCCCAGCCTTTAGCCACTGGCAACGGAGGAAAGAGACTAGTGAGACCTGGCATACACCACCTAGATTACTTATAAATCATGCTGATATCATGTGCCTCCTGACGTGGTAGAAGACCACATCGCCTCTTTAGTATTCTCTCCCAAAATCCACAGCCTTGAGCTACTTATGACATTCACTACACCAATCCAAATTGGGAAGCTGTCTACAAAATACTTGGCACTATTCAAAATTATCAAAGCCATGAAGGGCCAAGAAACTGTAATGGATTTGAAGAGGCTAAGGAGACAGGACAACCAAACACTAAAGTGATGTTTTGGGTTGGATCCTGGCACAGATGGGAAAACTGGAGAAATCTCAATATAGTCTGTAACTTAGCTAATGGTATTATAGCCACTCTTAATTTCTTAGTTCTGATTAATATGCTATGGTTGCATAAGATTTAACAGGGGGATGGTGAAGAATAAGTGAGAACTTTTTACTATGTTTGCAATTCATCTACATATAAAAAATTATTACTTGTCTTTTTTTTGTGTGTGTGTGACATATATTTGCAATCCCAGCCCTCAAGAGGCTGAATCTCAAAGATCGTGAGCTGGAGGCTAGCCTATGCTACAAAGTGAAGCTGTCTCAAAGAAAATTTTTTTCAAAATATAATGGAATTTGGATTCCCTAGTATGGCCAATAAGACTATCTCTTTGTCATTCTCTTTTACTGTATTACTCCATAGGTTTGTTGTTCTATGAGTGTCTGTGTGTGTGTGTGTGTGTGTGTGTGTGTGTGTGTGTGTGTGTGCGCGCGCGCTTTGTCTTACACTGTAGCCCTTGCTGACTTGGACCTCACTATCTAGCGCAGGCTGACCTTGAATTTGGAATCCTCCTGCCTCCACTTCCCAAGTGCTGAGAGTGTTTGGATGACAGATGTGATGTGCAGCAACCCACTTAGCAACAGTAGCTTCTGTTTAGCGGGGTCATGGTCACCAGATATCCAGCTAGACTCCCAGGCTTTGGGCATTTCACTTTGGAATTTTTTTCTTTTTGTTTTGTTTGTTTGTTTGAGTTTTTGGCTTGGTTTTGTTTTTATGTGGGGATTTGTTGTTGTTCATTTTTATTTTATGTTTATGAAAGTGTTTTCCCTGTGTGTAAACATGCCCATAATGTACAATGAGAAGAGAGTGTTGGCTTCCCTGGAACTGACAGTTGTTAGCCGCCATGTACCCAGGTCCCCTGCAAGAGCAGTCAGTGCTGTTAACCACTGAACCATCTCTCCAGCCTCATTGTTTGTTCATTTGTTTTGTTTTGTTTTGGAGACAGAGTCTGTCTGTGTTCCTTGCTGGCCTGGAACTTGTTATGTAGACCAGGCTAGTTACAGAGAACTGTCTGCCTCTGCCCTCCTGAGTACTGGGATTAAAGGTGTGTACCACCAGCCCAGTTTTTGTCTTGGGGTTTTTTTGTGTGTGTTTGTCTTTTTGAGACAGGGTCTCCCTGTAGCCCCAGCTGGCCTGCAACTCACTATGTAGACCAGGCTGGCCTTGAACTCACAGAGATCTGCCTACCTTTGCCTCCTGGGTCCTGGGATTAAAGGCTTGTACCACCAAGCCCGGCTTTTGCTTTGTTTTTTGAGACAAATTCTTACTATGTATCCCTGGCTGGTCTGGAACTTACTGTGTAGACCAGGCTGGCCTCAAACTCAGAGATCTGCCTGCCTTTGCCTCCTGAATGCTGGGATTAAAGGCATGCACTACCACTTCAGTTTTTCTTTGCTAAAAAAATTTTTTTTACATTTATTTTGTGTGTATGTGTGGGTGCACATGCCACAGTGAGCATGTGGAGCTCAGAAGACATTTGGGAGTAACACCTTTACCTGCTTTACCAGCCCCAGTAATCTGTTAATGCCCTATTCATATTAACATTTTCCAATTATCTCAAATATGACATTAATAGTTGGTTTGTTCCAGTTAAAAAAGAACTACGGGCTGGATAGGGGGCAAATGCGTGTAATCCTAGCACCTAGAAGGCAGGGGTAGGAGGATCTCAGAAAGTTTGAGGAGAGAGAGAGAGAGAACACAGATGCACACATTCACACATTTCTTTTGGTTATGTCTCTGTAGCCTCTCTTCATCTATAACAGACCTCTTCCTTTTATCTCTGTCATTTCCATGCCACTGATCAAAATGAGAACCTGGATCAGTTTGTCCTCTGGAATATTCCTCATTCTGAAACTGGCTGATTACTTGATCCAGGTATTTTTATCTTTGATTCCTTTATCTGATTTAGTTTCTGTAAACTGGTAGTTAGGTCTAGATGGCAATGTTCTTGATGTGATCCCTGCCCACCTCCACAGGCTGAGCCATGCCACTTCTCACCCCTCTGTTCCCTCCAGTCAGACATTTCTAAATAAACACGCAGTCACTGTGGAATTTCCCATTTTATTGCTTAACTAATTACTTCTTCCCTTAAGGAGGGAGGCATTTCCTGACCTACACTTTGCATCTAGACACCCCCCACCCCAACCCCTCCCTGCAAACCCTCAAAACATCTCATTTCCCCTTTTTTCCACTTGTAATTCCTACTTTACCCTTTCAGTTGTCAACCAGTAAAGAGTGGATGCTACACCTGGCTCCTAAGGTCTGGCCCCTCACAGTGGCAAGAACTCTTAGACTGTTTATCTAATGACTCTCCTGCACCCGCGCTTTCCATCTCCCTCCTTATCTTTTCTTGGTAGTTTCAGTCTCTGTAGCCAGAAGCCTAGCTTCCTGGTCAACTGAAGGGAAATCAAACTTTTCACTACTACCTTCACCAAGAAAATAAACTTTTCTTAAATTCCTGCCAGAAAAATATGAAAGGATGTGTTAGCTCCGAGTTGTGGGATAACTAAAGTTTTCTTTATTCATTTTGTACAGTTGGACTGCTCATTTTCCTTCTGTGAACACACAGTACTTTTGCAATAAAATGTTTCATATACAGCCCAGCGTGGTGGCTCACGCCTTTAGTTCCAGCAATTGGGAGGCAGAGGTGGGTGGATCTTTGTGAGTTGGAGGCTAGCCTGGTCTACATAGCAAGCACTAGGCCAGTTGGGGCTACAGGGAGACCCTGTCTCGAAAATACCAAAATAAAATTTCATATACAAATTGATGGTGCATATTTGTAATACCCGAACTTGGGATTGCTGAACCAGGCCTTGAGATTGAGGAAGGAAGGAAGGAAGGAAGGAAGGAAGGAAGGAAGGAAGGAATGGAGGCTAGCCTGGTCTACATAGCAAGCACTAGGCCAGTTGGGGCTACAGGGAGACCCTGTCTCGAAAATACCAAAATAAAATTTCATATACAAATTGATGGTGCATATTTGTAATACCCGAACTTGGGATTGCTGAACCAGGCCTTGAGATTGAGGAAGGAAGGAAGGAAGGAAGGAAGGAAGGAAGGAAGGAAGGAAGGAAGGGAGGATAGTATTTTATGATGTGTAAAGTATGAGAACTTTAAATTACAATGTCCATAAATTTATATTGAAAAAGAGCCTCAGCCATTCCTTTACACGTTGCTTCTTTTAGG